AAAAAGGTTAACTGACAATGGATGTTAGTTCGTTTATTGGAATTGATTCATATAAACACGGCCTATTCGTTACTGGTATGCAGGCTCACGGAGGACGGTGCTCAAACTTTTGTACTGTATTTACAGTAATGCACTTCTCAAGAAGGCATTTCACAGTCTATTTTCCAAAGACTCGTTGATTGGAATGAGACCCCTGTGTTGAATAGTTGGTTGGTTGGCTCATATTTAACACCGGGCTCAGCAAGATTCCTGCTACATGGCAGCGGTCTGTAAATAATCGAGTCTGGAACCAGACAATATGATGCGAACTTTGCTGAAGTCCAAGCAGGAAGCAAATGTACTGTGAGTCCCCATGGTCCCCAGTAAGGTAATCTACCTTTCGCTGTTTCTGTTCTATAGCCCATTTTTATGTTGCATTGTCTTCAATAGTGATGAGTTACATGCTATAATTTATATCTGTGATGTTTTCTACTTACATGCAATGCTAGGATATCCTCCTGAAGTTGATTGTGTCCTTCAAAGATCAAACGTTCAAGTTCAGCTACTTCAGGTTGTTGCCTGTGTGCAACATTAGATAGTTGCCCAGATACGGCTCTTTACTGGTGCACAATTCTTCGGCTCGTTGAATACCCTGTGTAACCTCCTACTGGACAGAGGGGCGGTGGGGTTTATTTACAGACCGCCGTCATATACCTTGAATACTGCTGAGTGCGGCGTTAAACAACAAACCAACCAACCAAATCAACAGATAAGCCCTCATGTCTTTGCAAACAGTGAAATGCTTTAGCTGCGAGAAGTCTAATAAACGACCCACATAAATGCAATAAAATTCGTCAGTCTCAATAAAGCTCCCTGTCAATGGATCATTCTTGTGTGATTTTGTACTTTCACTGAACTCAATGTGACAGAATAATTGCCATCAAAATACTCAGTTTTGAGCGTACACCAACAAAAAGAAACATTCTGAAACTTGATAACCACTGCTATATGTTAACATCACTCTGATAATTCACGTAAACCTAACAAATGTCATGCTGTGTCAAGTAACTTTTATATATTAAAGTGACATACTATTTTGAAATCGTGAAAAAAGATTCCAGGAAATGACTGACTGACTGAGTATGGTTTTACGCCGTTTTTAGCAATATTCCAGTAATATCACGGCGGGGGACACCAGAAATGGGCTTCACAAATTGTAACCACGTGGGGATTCGAACTCGGGCCTTCGGCGTGATGAGTGAACACTTTAACAACTAGGCTACCCCTACCGCCCCTCAGGTAATGAACCACGCCTCGTTGACCTGAATCCACATAATGCAGCAGTCAATTGACTTTCTAGAGTGCTCATATTCCGTTTTGATAAGTTGTACTTAAGACGAAATTGTCAAATTTCCTGAATCTAAGCCCTGAAATGAAAACATTTAATTACGTACCAGTCGATGATATTTACTGACCGCCAGAAGAAAGCAGGTTTTCACTTTAATGCCAACAAATCGCCATTTTGAACTCACATACAAGTGAGTGAGTATGGTTGTGTTAACCATACCGACTACTCTGTGCAGTATCAGTGAAAGTGTGTCGGTGTACGGAGCCGGATGTAGCTAGGGATGCTGGGCTGTATTAAATGGCGCATGATCCAAACCATACTGTCTGTGAGCATGAAATCAAAGTGTTTACAAAAATAGAATATAAGAAAACATTGTCCGTTAAAATGAATCCAGTTGTGATGGAAACCCGACTGTCAACAGAATGTTTTTAGTTGTCCATTACCGTGTATCTGTTTTTTGAAAGGCTTTCGAGAAGCCCGGGATTATTCTATGCCTGTTACATACGCAATATATATCAATTAATTATCTGAGTTCAGCAGTATTAGGTTGGCATCATCTGTCATGTTTAACTAGAGATTTGCTTGAACATATCAGGATTCTTTGAGCACGTGACATTAAAAATGTTGTAAGTCTTCTACATATCCTGTTCCCCTCCAGAAAAAGCACAGACATTAGAACCCCCTCAACAAAAGCCAAACAAACTAATTCCATAAAGAAAACCCAAAACCAAACTGACAAACAAAAAATACCCCGAAATACACACACACGAAAAAAAAAAAGAAGAAAAAAGAAGAAACACTATACTCAAACAGAGCCTCCCCTTACAAAAAACAAAGGAAAGTATACAAAACACGGAGTGCTGGATTGACTGTCGTCTCTATCAGTAATGCAGTGTTGTCTGTGTTTCTGGGCCCAGTGAAGACAACTGTAGGTCAGTAGACTAGCGGATATAATCTACACGTCTCACGAATAGTAGGTCCTGTCACTCTGGAGTTGTGATAACACATTACAGTACCATGTGCATGTTGTAAAAGGTTGTCTGTTACATCGATAATTGGATTAACCTTCATTTCATAGATCATTATCAACGGCGATATCTCGTAGTCTGTGCAAGGATCTTATCAGCGATACCACAATTTACTGGAGGCTGATCGATTCGACAGTGAAAGGTTGCCCTCTCTCCTGACAGCGGTAATGGCTCGAGTGTCGTACAGTGGCACTGTTGTCGATTCTGCTTCCAATTTGTAAAATAGCCAATTGAGAAATATGCAGCAAGATTAAAAAATGAACGGGAAGCGACTTGTGATGAAGTTATTGTAAAATCCATTTTTCCGTTGTGATGCAGGAATAGTTCAAGGTAAGACTTAAACATTCGGTACAACTCGCCCATGATTAGGGACGCAACACCTTGTCAATCTGTGGTCACAGTGAAGAGAGAGAGAGAGAGAGAGAGAGAGAGAGAGAGAGAGAGAGAGAGAGAGAGAGAGAGAGAGAGAGAGAGAGAGAGAGAGAGAGAGAGAGAGAGAGAGAGAGAGAGAGAGAGAGAGAGAGAGAGAGAGAGAGAGAGAGAGAGAGAGAGAGAGAGAGAGAGAGAGAGAGAGAGAGAGAGAGAGAGAGTTGGAGTTCGGTTTTACGCCGCTTTTTGCAATATTCCAGCAATATCACGGCGGGGGACACCACAAATGGGCTTCACACATTGTGCCCATGTGGGGCATCGAACCCTGGTCTTCGGCGTGACGAGCGAACGCTTTAACCACTAGGCTACCCCACCGCCCCCTCAGTGAATAGGCTCCCCATTGTCCCTTGTATTGTGATCTACATTCAGTTGTTGGCAATCTATAGCCTGCTTTTACATTGACTTGTCATCTATAGTTAAAGTATTTTAGTGTTAATTACCAGTTATAATTGAAATCTGAGATATACCAGTTGTTTTACTGTCCCTTGCTGACAGGTTTTTATAATTTACCTTTATTTCTTGTAAAATTATAACTTGTTTGTAGTCACATATGGATGAAATATTGCCGATGTGACTTAAAATCTTAACTCACTCACTCACTCAGTGAATAGTGATATAAGACACAATGTTATGCTGTTTGACTGAAGCGCCATGTAATGTGGAAGGTTGACATATTACTTAGGTTTGGTGCTGTGTGTGCAAAACACACGACACAGTGTGTTCCTGTCAACGCGAATTCAGGGGACAAGATGAGGTAAGCGTTAGTTGCTTGTACCAGGAAACCAATCATGCCACGTCCTGGATTCTAGCATCCCATCAAATTATTATGAGGCAACAAACCCAGCTAGATGGGAAGGCTTCTCGTGCCACATCATAGTCCAAACCAATTACATACCCCTCGGGGCTCTTGTGCCTGTAGATCTGCACTTACCTGAATTGTTGGCGTCTCCCTACTGCTCTACTTACCAAGTAGATTGCCAACATCTTCTGCTTCGTTACATGATCTGCAGACACTAACATTGTCAAAATATGAAGATATTGAACTATCAAGTTCGCCTGAACGTGGTTCTGTTTTGTTTGGGTTTATTTGAGTTTAAAAAGGTTAAATTGTTATGGATGTTAGTTCGTTCCATGGAATTTATACTTAAACACGGACTACTCATCACGGGTATGCAAGCCCAAGGTGGACGATTCTCTATATTATGTACTGTATTTACAGACAAGTAAATGTACTTCTCAAGAGGGCATTTCACAGAGTCTAATTTTCAAAGACTCGTTGGTTTGAATGACAGGCCAGTGTGAATAGGACATTGTGTCAGTGTAATGTGGATTGTCATTATATTTGATACGGATGATACCATATGCAGGAAAAACCAAGAAACACCAAAACAAACCCAACTCTTTGAACCGAATTTCGAAGGGATATACATAAAAGGTGACAATTTATGGACATCAACTTCTTTATTATGAGGAAAATAATTTTTGGATACGAGCTTCTGTGTTAAAAGGAACACAATTTATGGATATCATTGGACTGAAGAACAGTTCATGGAATGTCCGAAACACTGCGACCGCGGACACCAGATGAGCATGTTCTCGGATGAGGTTATAGAACAGTTGCGTTTTGGGACGTTCAGTTATCCTATGGATGTTTTGTTTTGTTCTCGGACAATGTGTTGTAAATGCGCGAACACAACGCCTCGCGGAAACGCTACTGCACGAGAATTCCATGAATGAATGTTTGTTATATAAACGTATTTCGTGATACTTCGGAGAGTGTGTGTTAAATGAGTGTGTTAGATGAGTGTGTTAGAGACTGTGTTAGAGACTGTGGGTAAGGGTATTAGTGTTAGAATGTTAGATGGTTAGATGGTTGCGTCGAACGAACATCTGTGTGTTGGATGTTGACGCGTTTGAGATGATTTGGTCATAATCGGACCTCAGCAAGGTATTGAAGCTTTCGTACAGTAACTTGCATTCGTTAGTGTATATATAAATTTACAATTGTGGGGAAATAAAATTTGGATTAAATAATTAGAATTTTTGTTTTCATTCCACTGCAAAACAAAATGGTAGCAGAGCGTGGTTATGTTATGTTAGGTTAGGTTAGTTGCAGGTGAGTTCAGTTGCGTGTCAAGATTAGATACAGGTTAGATTAGTGGAAGGTTAGTTTACATGCAGGTTAGGTTAGTTGCAAGTCAGATTAGTTTGTCATCATGTCGGAGAAATCGATGAAGCAAATAGCTTCAAACGTTGAGGTAAAGGTTCCTAAAACAGACGTTGGTGACAAAATTATCAAATTAAAGAAACAAAAAGCAGCAGCTAAAACTGCATTTACAAAATGTAAGAACAAGTTGTATAACTTGATAGAACAAGTTGATGTTCCTTCCCGTCGGGAGGTTAGAGATGAAATTGACAAGGTAAGTTCACTTCATCTTAAGGCAGTGAATATCATGGTTGATTTGATTCAGGCATATTCAGATAGCGGGGACACTGAAAACAAAAGTCAAGTCTACAAAGAACTTGCGTCTGTAGAAGGGATTAATGAAGATGTTGTTAAAATGGCACAAGCATACTTGAATGACAGATCAGATGCTACTTCTGTAAAAAGCATAAGAACCGGTTTATCAATGCTATTCCATTCTCAAGATCAGGCAAAGCAAAAAGTACAATCTGATAAGAATACAAAATGCAAACAGAACAGTGACAATGAACAAGACCTAAATAAGAACGTGGTCACAGGAAAACATGAGAAGAACGTCGAATGTTTAGATGACAAGTTGAATGTGGTTGAAAGTTCTGGAGCACATTATGATGTTCGCAGAAGAACGAACCCTGTCACAAAACAAAATGAGCTTGGTGTAGATATGTGGAAACAACTCAAAAGAGTCGATACCCACATTTAATGGTGACATTAAAATGTATGAGAATTGGAAAGCAGCATTTGTAGCTTGTGTGGACATGGCGCCAGCCACCCCCCGAATACAAACTGTTACAGTTAAGACAATGTCTTACCGGAGAAGCACTGAAAGTGATAGCGAGTTTAGGTCATAGTGCGGCTGCATATGACATCGCATTAGAACGTCTTGAACGCAAATATGGTGGTAAAAGACGTAACATTGCTTTGAAGTTAGAAGAGATTACAAAGTTCAAACCAATTAGGGCAGGTAATGCCAGGGACTTAGAGAAGTTTGCAGACATGCTTGATATTTTAGTGGCAAACCTTAGAGAATCAGACAAGTTAGAAGAGTTGGGTGATGGGACCTTATATTCACAATTACTAAAGAAATTAACAGAATCCATGGTAATACAATATCAGAGGTGGATATTTGAGACCCAGAGACAGGAATCTGTTGAAGTCCTCAGGGAATGGATTCTGCAAGAATCAGAGTTTCAGGTCATTGCCAGTGAAGTCATAAATGGGGTTGCTGAAAAGCAGAGGTCACATGAACGTAAAACATCGGGTAAAAATGGGACTTTCTTTGGCAATAAAGAGAATAAAAGTCAAACGGGTCCATGTCAAATGTGTCCAGGAGCAAGTCATGAGATGTGGAAGTGCACAAAGTTCAAAGCATTGAGCGTTAGTCGGAGGTGGGAGGTTGCAAAGAGGTTGAATCTTTGCTTCCGTTGTCTAGGCTCCAACCACTGTGGTAGGAGTTGCACTAGGTTTAGTGAATGTGGGATAGGTGGTTGTTTTGCAAATCACAATCGCTTACTTCACACTGATAGGAAAGTAAGGGATTGGACAGATGGTGCAAAAGTAAGTCGCCCCTAAATCCAGTAGATGAAACACAAACAACCACAATGTCTACTTGTAGGTGTGACATGTCATACACAGCATTGAGAACAGTCCCAGTAGTTATCACAAATGGACATCGCAGGATTACAGTCAATGCTCTCTTAGATGATGCAAGTACGCAGACATACATAAATGAAGATATAGCTGCAGAACTTGGGTTACAAGGACATTATCAGAAAGTGTCAGTGAATGTTCTAAATGGCAGAAAGGAGAGTTTTGAATCAATGACTGTTAATTTTGGGTTAGAAAGCATTGATGGTTCAGTTGATGTATCAATGTCAGCTCTTACAACAACAAAAGTTACAGGCAAAATGCAAGTAGTAGACTGGGAGAAACATGGACATAAATGGAAACATTTGAATCACATCAAATTTCCGAAACTTAGTTCTCGTACTGTGGTGGATGTCCTCATAGGCATTGACTACATTGACCTTCATCGGTCATATGAAGAGGTAGGTGGTGGTCAGGGAGAACCTGTTGCAAGACTTGCACCTCTTGGGTGGACATGCATAGGACGTGTTCATGGTGAAAATGAAACACATTTTGCAAGTACTTTTCTCATTGATAACAATAGAACAGAATTGCAGAATCTAAACGCTTTAGTGCACAAGTTCTGGGAAGTAGAGGAATTTTCATGTAGCACCATGAATGACTACAATGATGATGAATTGTGTGCAGTTGAAAAAGTTAAACAGACACTTCAGTACAACAATGGTCACTACCAAGTAGGTATACCTTGGAGATTTGACACACGGATGTTACCAGATAACTATAAGATGGCTGTCAATCGTCTTCTTAGCACTGAGAAGAAACTGTCGAAAGACAAAGAAATGGCTGAAGCTTATTGCTCAGTTCTAGATCAATATGTGCAAAAGGGATACATTCGTAAAGTATCGTCATTGGAAAATGAGAGTAAATGGTTTCTTCCTCATTTTCCAGTAGTACGTCCAGACAGAACTACAACCAAAGTACGCATTGTATTCGATGCTTCTGCAAAGTGTCAGGGTGTTTCACTCAATGACATAATACATCCAGGACCGAAGTTGCAGAATGATCTTTTTGAAATCTTGCTTCGATTTAGGAAGCAGCCCATAGCACTTGTTTGTGACATCTCGGAGATGTACCTACAAATTGAGGTGAAACCTGAAGATCGTAAATACCTCAGGTTTCTGTGGCGACCCATGAATTCAAATGAGGAACCACAGGTGTATGAGTTTAACAGGGTGTTGTTCGGTTTGAATTGTTCACCATTCTTAGCGCAATACATTTCACAAGAACATGCAAAAGCACATCAGAATGAATTTCCACTTGCTGTAGAGACTGTAGTAAGCTTCACCTATATGGACGATAGTATGGATTCGGTAGAAGATGACATGACTGGGATAGAACTGTACAATCAGCTGAGTGAGCTATGGCGCACAGCAGGTATGAACGCCAGAAAATGGCTTTCAAATTCGTTGGATGTCCTTGATGGAATTCCATTAGAATCTAGGGCACAGAAGGTAAACATAAACAAGAATGAATTGCCTTCAGTGAAAACACTAGGTCTTATGTGGATTGCAAATGATGATGAGTTCAGTTTCTGTATGAATGTTCCTGAAGACATTGTGAGAATGACCAAACGAATGTTTCTCAGTGAAATTGCAAGGATCTTTGATCCGCTTGGACTCTTGACACCTTTCACCATTGTGGGGAAAATGATGATTCAAGAGATGTGGATATCAGGTTTCGGATGGGATGAAGAGCTTGATCCAGATCTGAATCTTAGAACTTTGAAATGGGTAAATGAGGTTAAAGAGTTATGCAATATCAGAGTACCACGGTGCTTGAGAATCAAATCTGAAATAGAAAACAAAACATTTCATGTATTTGCAGATGCATCACAAGATGCATATGGGGCAGCAATATATGCAGTCTATACTTACCAGAGTGGGGAATTGGTCAGTCGTTTAGTTACCTCCAAAAGCAGGGTTGCTCCTCTTCAATCTGTAAGCATTCCAAGAATGGAACTGATGGCGGCAGGCCTTGGGGTGAAATTGTTTGTTGCTTCAGCAAAGGTGTTAGAAATGTCCACTGTCAACACGTATTTTTTGGTGTGACAGTATGAATGTGTTATGTTGGATAAAAAGCCAGAGTAGAAATTACAAGTGTTTTGTGGCAAATCGCATTGGTTATATCCAGGAACACACCAGTCCATATCAGTGGAAATATGTTCCATCTCGGTTAAATCCTGCAGACATACTAACCAGGGGTACATCAGTGAAGAACCTAGCCAGTAGTACATGGCTGACAGGACCAGCATTTCTGAAACTCGCAGAAAGTGAATGGCCAGAACAAATAGTTGGATTTCAAAGTGATAGTACTTTAGAAATAAAGAAACTGTCCAGAAAAAGGGAAGTTGTTACACTAATGTCTGAAGGTGAGGATGATGCATGGCGTCTTCATCCATCCAGATATTCTGACTGGAAGAGGTTGACTAGAATATATGCTTGGGTAAGCAGATTTGTTACCAATGCACGTATTGCACCAAAATTACGACACATGGGTAATTTGGAGGTTGACGAAATCGAAGATGCTGAAATGAGAATCATCAGTCAGACGCAACAACAGGAGTTTGAGAAAGAGTTTTCTGCACTGCAAAAAAGGAAAACAGCTTCCAAAAGACAGCAAACTCATTGGACTCCAGCCAATAATCGATGAAGAGGGACTAATTAGATGCAGTGGCAGACTGAAATATGCTGACTGCTTGTCTTGGGGAGCACGAGTTCCAATAATCTTACCTCGTAAGAACTGGGTCACAAGGCTTATTGTGAAACATTACCACGAAGCGGGTAAACATGCAGTAGGTACTAATCAAACTTTAGCTGCTCTATCCTCAAAATACTGGGTCATTGCTGCTCGTGAAGAGATTCGAGCATGGGAGACAGAATGTGCCTTTTGTCGGAGACAAAAAGCTCAACCGAGACCTCAGATTATGGCTCCACTTCCAAAGCTGAGAGTTAGCTATTCACTGAGAGCATTTACTCATGTTGGAGTGGACTATGCAGGGCCTTTTCTGACTATCCAAGGGAGGTTAAAGAAGAGACAAAAACGATATTTGTGTCTTTTCACGTGTTTGTCCACTAGGGCTGTACATTTGGAAATGTCATATGGTCTAGATAGTGACTCGTTTTGAATGCTTTCTTCCGCATGACAAATAGACGAGGAATGCCAAAAGAAGTCGTATCCGATAACGGAACTAACTTTGTAGGCGCTGTGAAGGAATTGAGAGATCTGGTTGAACAACTTGATGCGACTGCGAGATCATCATTGACTAATAAGGGAGTCGTCTGGAGATTCAACCCTCCTCATGCACCACATTTTGGTGGTGTATTTGAATGCATGATTAAGTCAGCTAAGAGAGCTATCTTTGCCATTCTGGGTAAAGGCGATGTCACGGATGAAGAGCTAACTACAGCATTTACTGCCGCAGAAGCACTCATAAATTCTCGTCCACTCACTTATCAAAGTGCTAACTGCCAAGATGATGTACCGTTGACCCCAAATCATCTTATGCACGGGCAAGTCGGTGGAACATTTGCTCCAGATAGTGTTGATACTACGTCATACAACCCCAGAAAACGATGGAGACGAATACAGGAACTGGTGAGGCACTTCTGGAGGAGATGGTTGAGGGAGCTACTACCAACTCTTCAAGTCAGGAAGAAGTGGAGAGAGGCTAACCGCAATCTGAAGGTAAATGATGTCGTCATCGTAGTTTCACCAGATTCTCCACGTGGAAGCTGGCCTTTGGGGAGAATCATCAACACATATCCAGGCAAGGATGGACATGTTCGAGTGGTACAAGTAAAGATGGGGAAAACTACGCTGATGAGACCTGTGACGAAGGTGTGTCCACTCGAGTGGAATTCGGAGGATGACTTGAGAGAACATTAAGCAGATCAGTCATGTGGAGGTTCAGGCGAGATATGTTCATGCAAGCAGTGGGAGCAGGATCGTTCGTCGTCTGGAGGATGGATCGTTCGTCTGGAGCATGGATCGTCGGCATCAGGAGGATTGAATTCGAAGGATCGTTGTGTAAAGGATTGACTTTTGAAGATTCGAATTAGGATACCAAATGACTATTTTAGAGGATCAAGAAACAGGATGTGTTGTTTATTGAAATGTGCATTTTTCATTTTGTGATTCATGATTCATGGATATCAGCAGAACATATGATAGACAGGAGTCTATCATGGAGGGGGGGGAATGGACTGAAGAACAGTTCATGGAATGTCCGAAACACTGCGACCGCGGACACCAGATGAGCATGTTCTCGGATGAGGTTATAGAACAGTTGCGTTTTGGGACGTTCAGTTATCCTATGGATGTTTTGTTTTGTTCTCGGACAATGTGTTGTAAATGCGCGAACACAACGCCTCGCGGAAACGCTACTGCACGAGAATTCCATGAATGAATGTTTGTTATATAAACGTATTTCGTGATACTTCGGAGAGTGTGTGTTAAATGAGTGTGTTAGATGAGTGTGTTAGAGACTGTGTTAGAGACTGTGGGTAAGGGTATTAGTGTTAGAATGTTAGATGGTTAGATGGTTGCGTCGAACGAACATCTGTGTGTTGGATGTTGACGCGTTTGAGATGATTTGGTCATAATCGGACCTCAGCAAGGTATTGAAGCTTTCGTACAGTAACTTGCATTCGTTAGTGTATATATAAATTTACAATTGTGGGGAAATAAAATTTGGATTAAATAATTAGAATTTTTGTTTTCATTCCACTGCAAAACAATCATAATGAAGAAGATGACATCCACAAATTCTCACCCATTAAAAAAAAGACCGAAGACCAACAATTGTAAGAATCTAAGCACATTTGGAAAATATGATTTGTACCCAGCTGTAAGTACGAATTATCTGTTTAGTCTACTTGTACCTGTTTTAAGGCAGCTGCTGTCGGTATGGAATAGAGGTTATATAATACTGACACATTGGTAGCCATGGTGATTGCCTGTCATGACACCATAGTTTTATGTTTGGTCTGCTGAACATTTGACTTGCCTTTGTATTTGTAACGAGTGCTATTGATATGGCAGGATAAGCTATTATTAATAGATCCATGAAGACCCATGATAGTGGTAAAAATCGGTAACGCATAGAAGTCCAGAAGAGCGGTAGGGTGTAATCTTGTGCGCAGGTCACAAATCAGTTGATATCTTGCTTCCGAATCGTAAACACACGCCTTTGAAATATCTGTCTCATTTGTGAACAAAAGCGCTAATAAAATGTTGCTACCTTACTCCGACATTTGTAACGAGTGTTGACGCAATCTGTTTCTGGAAGCAGTACTCGTACTTTGTTGCACTATTAATACGCCCAAGAGGATGTAAGGATCATACTCAATCAAAGAGTGAGAATTGATGAGAATTTAATAACACCAGAAGGGTTACAGTCAATGCAAGTGCTACATCGATAGAGGTATTACGACAAGCTGACTGTAACCTTTCATAAAATGATGATTTAAATTCCTATTTTCGTCTCCGATAAAATGTTAAAAGGATTGTCAATGATATGACAGTTTAATAGGGGCCACACACGAAAACAAAATCATCCATTTTCTTATCACCGCATAATCTGCTTAGCTTGAAAGTGGAGAGGCGCGCAAATGCTTTTCGCAAAACTGAGGTTTTATAGTTACATTCCTGTTTTCGCTCACTTTCGTGGAAATGGCCAATGCCTATACGGAGAAATCTCCAATACCTAACGGATAAATACACAATACCTAATTCTATTTGCAAATCTATATTTGTGATTGTATTTGTTTACTGTCCTTCGCTGACAGGTATTTACAGTACAACCAGAAATTATTGAGAATTTAAAGATTGTAATTTTTTTTTTTTCACTCATTACTCACGTATTAAATGTGAATAGTAGCAGAACATAACTCCAGATTCAAACACAGGGGAACAGTTAGTATTTTGACAAGTTCCCATGGGCAGCAATGCGGCGGGGCATACTACTGATCAAAGAAGTTGGAAAATCCTGGTCCATGCTGTCCCAATATCGGACCACCTCTTCTTTCATTTCAGCAATATTTGTCAGATTTTTCTTATTGATACTTTCCTTCATAAGTCCCCAAACATTTTCTATTGGATTTAGGTCAGGGCTATAGCTTGGCCAATCTAATAATGTCATATTTTGGGTCCGAAACCAGTCCTGTGAATGATTTGAACGATGTTTTGGGTCGTTGTCCTGCTGGAAAATCCAAAAATGTCCATAGCACACGTGAGCAGATGGAAGTAAATGTCCCTCGAGTGTACCGCTCACTGTTCATATTCCCTTCAAATACACAGATATGCCACCCCACACGTTAAATTTCGGACTGTACTTGGTTGCTGATACAAAGGTTTTTCAGTTTGTTTGGTCCAGAATTTTCAGCCACACAGAACTTTCACCTGAGAAAATCACATTGTCCCAGTTAAAATGTCTATGCTGTAAGCACCAGTTCAACCTTCGCTCCTTTTGTTCAGGTTTCATGATCGGTGATGGAATTCCTGACTTTTCTGCCAACCCATTGCATGCAGCTCAGTTCTAATTGTCTCCTTACAGACAGCCACAGTTCCTCTATCAATCATATCCAACCTTAAGTTTTCTAAACTCCTTCGTTTGTTTTTAGAAACAAGAATACCAAGCCGCCTCCTGTCACCGACAGTCAATTTTCTGGGCCTACCTGCGCCTCCCTGGTGCTAAATGCCATATTCATTTGCAATCTATTTCAAAAACACGATAAACAGTGGACAAAGGGATGCCTGGTTCTACTTGAAATCACTTTAGCTGATCTTATGTCCTTGTTATAATACACTAAAATCAACTTCCTCTTCTCTAAATCATCCATACTGAAGATCACTGAAAATGTCGTCTGCTAGCAAGTAAACAAATGGGGATAACTCTTCACAAACTAATGAAAAGGATTAACGGAGTTGTTTCTCTTGAATGAAACCAAACACTTGATAGCTGGGCAAGGTTGTTTATACTAGAAATCCAATTAAACATATTCCTAAAATTCTCAATAATTTCTGGTCATACTATATATCGCTCAGTCTA